CGAGGTTTAGATACATTTGCAGTCAGTTAGGCACAGATACATTCGATTTAAACAACTTGAAGATATTTTTGCAATCGATTGGCATATCTTTCACTATTATTTTTTTGTAGAGTTTTCTGTTTCAGTTTTTCTCGAGCGTATCCAGTTGCACTCTGATCCCCTGATCCGGTGATCCTTTGATCCTTACCTCCAAGCGGGAGAGCGAGCTCAAGTCAGTGATGTATTCGATGTTCACATCGGCTCCACCGGGTCCAGTGGATGTGGCCCGGTAGGAGTATTTCGAGGAGCGTACAGCTTGCGATGACGACATTTTGTTCTATGTCAGATTATGCAGATTGATTTCTACCGATTTCTTAAAAATTCTCGCTCGTTACGCGTTTTGTGTCGCGTCAATAGAAATTGATTTTATTTTTATTTTTTAGAATTTTTCCCTTCAATCAAATCTCTACAGCACCGCACGCAGTTTGGGTGTAGTTGTCACCGAGTCACCGAATAATTCGTAATAAACGTCGGAGTAAGGCTGGTGATCTACTGAACAAGAGATCCCGTTGTCGTTCGAATAAAGAGTATTTCGTTTATTTGGTCGCGGGTCGCTAGTGAATTCGTCTATTTCAACGAAATCCGAAGAACTCGGCATTCGGCTCGCAACTTTTTTTTTCCTCTTCTTTCCATTCTATTCGTTTGAGTGTGCTTTCAAATTATCCGCTTATTTTCGGCAGTTTTTCCTCCTGAGCATTTTCCGAGCCGTTTTCGTTTCAATGAGTGAGTTTTTCCCTTTAGGGGCCGCTTTCGGGCCTTTGCTACGGGCGTGTTAATTGCTCAGTTGTGTGGAAAATTCTTTGATTTTGATTTTTTTTTTTGGCTTCTTGCCGCCTAGTGTGAACGCATTTTCACGCCAGCTTGCGGAGCACCCAAAATAAACTCCAAGTTGTTGTTGTTTTTCTTTTTTGCTTACCTGTAATTAGCCGATGTCATTTACGTACACACATAAGCAGGTGTGCGTGTGTGCGCCTTGTGGCTTTTATTTTGTGTATCTGCCTTTCGGTTTGTGTATACACATTGAAATAGCTTCCTAGCTGAAAGAAATATCGAACAAATTCTTTATTTTTGTTTCAATTTATTTTCTTATTTTTCTTCCATTCATTTTTTACAATCATAATATTTGTATATTGTATAACAATCCGGGTTCACATACCATATTTCATGCATATAGCGTTGTCATAGCTGAGGTCCATAGTAGACAGTTTTGGTTGAAGAAGTAAGAGCTCTCTAGTTGGGAGTGCTGGTTTAGTAGATACCCTGTTCCTGTGCAGGTTCTTTCTGTATTGCTTATGCATAAAGCTTCAGTGCTTACAGTGCGATCCTTATGAAATTATATGATATTTTCGTTCTATGTATAGTATATATAGTATAGAAAATATATTTCAAGTTCCCAGGCCTTAGCTATTGTAGTTTCCGTAATTATCGACTCAACTCGTCGCGCTTATCTAGGATATAGATCCTAAATGTAATCAGAGATGCCTGTTAAATATATTTGCCCAAAATGTCTATACCCTTCCTACCCGTTTTCTATGGTTACAGGGTATTAAAACTTGGTTTCTTGATGTTTATAGCCTGAGCCCATTGAAATTAGTTACAAAGCTTCAATGGTTTTAGGAAAATGTATGTAACAGGGAGAAGGAAGCATCCTGACCCCATAAAGTATAAATATACTTTCATTATTTTTAATCAATATTTGATTTTTAAAATAGAATTTATTGTAAGGTCTGCTAAAAACATTTTGGCAACAAAACAATATTTTTGCTCATAAATTATATTATAAAAAACATATGTATAAAAAAAAGAACCTACCCCGAAAAAAAACTACTCGCGAGCAAGTTGAGTGATGAATCCTTGGCAATGCTCAACATGATTTTTGGCCTGCTCATTAGCTGATTTTATTGGCCAATATTGCTCAACAGACATTGTGCTGTCATTTTACAATTGTTATTTAACGATCGGGCAAATAAAAGAAATACATGAGCCAAACATCTGTGTACAACTTGACAACTGGCCAGATTATCCATATATCTTTATCTATCTATATCTATCCGTGTGCGATTTGTGCATGTATTAGATTTGCTTTTTTCAGTACTTACATTTGGAGTGTCATGTTTTTGGCTCAGTTTTCCAAAATGAGCTTTTTGAGTCAAAATCAATTCGACTCGATCTTTGCCCAGCCTCTTCACCTGTGCAAAGTGTTCTATACACACTCGCTCACACACACACACACACAAGCGCAACTATACTTAAGAATGATTTTTCGCTTATTTTTAGCATTTGAATTTTAGCGTTATTTTCTTATTTTAATGATTTTTTTTACTCCCGCTCGCTTTTTCGCTGCTCATAATCATGTTCATTTTCCACACACATTTCACCTGAGTGTATAGATACACACCAGAGTCCATGTAGATGGGCCGGCGGCAACTATACATATATACATATGTGCACATATATATACATTTATATATTTGTTTGTATATAAAGATGGCTGGCTGGCCATTTCGTATCTTCTAGATACTTAGCGCTGGCCATAATTTTATTTATTTTATGCATGTGTATATACTTGCGGGGCCTAGGAATAATATTTAACATTTTGTGCGCTTGCCACATTTTGGAATGTGTAATAATTTAAAAATAACATGGCGAATATGTAGCAAGCGCTACAAACGATAAATAAGTCAGCTAAAAATAGTTAGCACAAGACTATTTTATCAAAATCGAGGTACAAAACATTCGTATGCTCAAATAAATAAGTAAATACATTTTTGTGATAGCATCCAACATATACCGAAAACTTATGGCACACCTGTCCCACGTTTCCGGCTCATTGCCCATCGTTTTACAGTTGCACTGAGGTCAGTGATGACACGGTCGCAGGAGCAGCAGCAGGAGGAGGGGCAGGAGTTGTTGTCTATCCTAAACAGAAATCACTCGCCCGCTTGATCTTCTTTGTGTTTCATGTTTCGTGCCTGGCTACAAAATTGGGTCAAAATTGTTATGATCACACAGATACACACGCACACACACAGGCACGCCTGCTATGCAGTTATATATAGACGAGCATCGGCTATGAGGTGTTTTCCTGCTTTATAGAGTGTTTGTGTGTGCCCATTTGACGAGTGCTTCTTCGGCCACTTTTTGCACGCCTCACTTCAAGTTGCCAGCTTTCAAGCCCAACCAAGTGGCAGCAAGATCACTTGAGGGGCATTCCCGCCTGGTTGTCCTAAGTGGTGGCCAGATAGGCTCAAGTGGGCGCCGCTTGCAGCTCCCTTGTGGGTGGTAAACAGAAATTCCAACACCCAGCCCATAAATAAACATTTTTAATGCATTCAAAAACAAACAACTCACGTTAATGCATTTTCTTTAACCACAGCAAAATTTGCCTTTTTGCCAGAGTTTTTTTTTTGCCGTTGACAACTTCTTATTCAATATTCGTGCGTTTGATGATTCACACACACCCACAGGTACACAGTCAGAAGCCATTGCTTGTGTATATCTATGTGTACATATGGAAGTGTATTTGACAAATCTGAGTATTTTGTTTTAATATAGAGCAGAGCAGCTACTCACATCTAAAGCCCTGTGACGTGTACGTCGTCAACAAAACTTGTGAGTCATTGCCAGAATGTGTCTATATCGCTTGGATCAGGTACTATATACACACACAACCACTCAAATATCTACATATATTTATTTTAAATATCGCCAGTGTGGGTGCTGTGCGAACTTGCCAAATAACATTAGATGCAATAGACATTTATCGTCCTAATTGAAATTTGTAAATATTACAAGCTGTGAAAGAAACTTTTAAATATAAATAAATTCAATATACTATAGTTTATCCCATAGAATATACGTTGGTACGCCTGAGTAGCCCAACAAAAATGTTTGCTGCTTGGTTCCACCATTGCGTGACCTTAAGGTTTCGTTAATTAGTATTAGTTAAGGTTAGATATTAGTTATTAGTTATTGCATATTTGAATATATATAATATATATAAGCACATTCTATAACTCTACCCTAGATTATAAATATAATGGTTTATCCGGCGAAAGATTTCTAGAAAAAATACATTCATATGAATATAAATGCACTCTTATGTGCGAATGTTTAATAATTTTAATCTTAATATGATATAGACTCTCTACCGAATTTAAAAGTGGAAATGTTTAATACATTTAAAATAATATGAGAGTCTATATGACGAACTACATATCTCTAAAATCGTTTCAATTGCACATGTACGATTATAAATTATATTTTGTGCTGACACATATTTATTTGACAACGTGATTAATCATCAAAACATATTTGCGATTGTGAACGATAAATGCAATGGGAATTTAATTAATGTCAGCGGCATGCATTTTGATTCTGTCGATTTGTATCAAATGAAAATTAGCCTAATGTGTATTTTTGTCGTATTTGTTTTTATTTTTGCTGTTGGCAGACATAAACTTTTGCGTCATTTGGTTTTTAAATAGTCTGCGATTTATATTAATTTATTGGATTTGCATCAGCTAAACTTAGCTATAAGGTGTATATGTGCTTGATCAGGGGTATTTGTGCTGCATCTGTCTATCTATTAAAAAGCGAAGATTGGACTTTAATTTAAATTTTATTTAAGGGTATATTTATGAGAAGGTGAAGGTTTTTCATTCCTCTATATTAGGCCTTAGTAACGGTATTAAGTATTCGGCTACTTTCGATAAGACATCTTCTATATTTACTTTATTTCACATCGAATCGTTTTTGGTCTCTTTCGAGCTTTAGCTGAGACACAAACCATTGTGTTGATTGTGACTATCACAGCGAAGACAAAAGCCCAGTGAACTTTAAAAACTGACACATAGATGTCGCTTTCGCATGGCAAACGATATTTTGGCCAAGGAAAAAGATTTACACCAGAATAAGCGCAGAAACTGCTATCTTATGTTAAAATTGTTTTAATTTTAATACAAATAACAAAATAATTAAGATGTCAACTCAACAGGAACTCAATCAGATTGGTCAGACGCCGCATGCTGACATAGTTGACCAGCACCACGTAGGCGTAGCAGGTGTAGATATATGCCCACCATTGAAAGTGCAGCGGATCCTTTGCCCAACGGCTGCTGGGGCCGCCGAGTCCGGCCAGTCCGTTCGGCTGCAGCACATGTGCGTGATGCCGTTCGGTGAGCAGGCGTCGAAACGCGGCGCCGCTCAGGTAGACAACGCTCAGCAGCAGAATAAGGCGACGCAGATGCACCAGCAGCAGCGCCATTGCCTTGCCACCAACTCTGTTGGATATATGTAGAGGCACATTTGTAATTATGCAAATATTTACACACAGATTTTGAGGATATTTCACTCTAAACGCTTATATCAGTTTTTCATTTTTTATCTGGCACGCACTTTTCGACACTTTACTCGACCTGCCCAGCTGAATTGGCGTGAAGCTCGCAATTTTATTTTTAATTTTCAACTATTTCGTTTCTTTTGCCATTTTGTTTTCGTCGCATTTTTCGTGTGTCTCGCATTTTTCAGCTGGCAACACTTGCAAAATACATCAATTTTCTCTAAAAGTTTTCCCATTGAGCTTTTGGCGGCATTTCTTATACCCTATTAGTTAATTGAAGCGGGTATATATGCAGCAAACAGGTTGCGTATTAATTGTCTAACTTTCTGCAAATATTTACACAAATGTGTAAATCTTTTAGTGCCAGAATTTGATAATAAATTCCAAACGCGAATCTATGTCAGGCAGCCACTTGAGGGACGTGGCCCTAAGAATAACAAAAATTGGGCTCTTCAAATGCCTTTCAGCGACCTGCGATTACGCCCATAAAAAAAGAAAGAAAAACTATATAAAAATCCGACGAGCGACTACGTTGCGTATACTTAATGCGTATGCGCAATACTTGAGACGCGGCACTTCAGCGCACAGCTCCAGCCGAAGATAACCTTGAATAGATCCACAAAGCATATACAAACGAAGGCGTCGAATATTGCAACATGAAACGTGAGGTTGGTTAAGAACAATATTTAAATTAAATATTGGCACACAACGGCCAAATGCCATGAAAGATGAAAACGCGTGGAAAATGTTGCAACGCACAAAAATGTAAACTCACGAAATGTTTAGCCAAAAACCGATCCAGACGCGTTAGCCCTATGTAAATAAAAAAAAAAAAAACTATTAACTGCAGCTCTCGATTTTGTTTATTATTTTTAGCAGTGACATGGATAAATGGAACAATCGAGACACAACGTTTGATCGTTTAAAAGCCAGAGATTTTCTCGGTCTGCTCTAATTGTGGCCAGGCCAACCAAAATGTGGCAAGACAAAGACAATTTAAATTAAGACAAGAAAAGACTTGACGGCTTTTCTTTATATACATATTGAAAATAATTTATATTTATTCCTGATTGGGAGGTTACATTAAAGTATGTCTAATGCCTGCTTCATAAATTGGTGTATTTAACTGTCTTTGTATATATGCTAATATGCATGTTCATATATGTGCTTGCATGTAAGCAGGTGTGCATGTATATGCATTCTTATATGTATCTCGTGAAAATTGGTTGAGCTTTGGTTGAGCTATAAGAAGGTGAAATTTGGGCCCAATTCTATATCCGATTTCAGGGTGCCACATTTTGGCATGAATTTCGACTAAATAATATGTTTCCAGATTTAAATGCCAAATTAAATTGGAGGTAAAACCATGAAGAAAAATCCAAATATCGCTAAAATCGGTTGAGTTTTGGCCGAGTTATAAGAAGGGGAAATTCAGATGTTTGCACGTTTGCTTATTTATATGCATTCTTTATGTGCTGTCGTTCTCTGCGATTCTCATAAATTCAAGTAAGACTTGCCGGTTTTTATCATATGTTAAGTGTTTTCTGGTGTGTGTTCGGTTTTGAAAACGAATGTAAAAAGGTTCTAACTGAAATCTGACTTAATGGACATGGGCAAACAGAAACGCAAACTCGAACCGCAAACTTGGCAGGCGACAATTTTTATATTAACAGTTAAGCAGAGTATTTACTTGTGGCATCCTCCACCCTAATGGACCTTTAAGATGATGTTGTGACATTTCATTTAGATGTCTTCGCATGCCCAGAAATTTAATTGTTTTTTATGGGCACGCAAACAAATCGCGTCGGTGGCAGCCACTCCCCTCTATTAATTTTATTAACTAGTGTTTGCGTCTTTTGATTGCATAATCTGTTGGTGCTGGCAGAGGCCAGACATAAATTACAAATTCAAAATCGTAGAAATGATTGAAAGGCCCGCGCGCCTGCCTTCTCCCAGTTTTTCCCAGCGGCTCCCTCCCAGCTTGGCTGCCTATGATTGACCGCGTTGTGCACCTCGCTGCCGGAATGGCCCACTGGCTGCTCCCGGGGATTGCCGGGTCTGACTTTTATGGCTGTCGGTGTATTTTTTATGGCCTGCCCAAATTCATTTCTCGTTTTGAGGCAAACGCTTTTTTCTGTGTGTGTGTGTGTGTGTTTTTTTCTCTCGATTTGTTTGCATTTATTTCTGGGGCGGCTGCGTTGGCGTTGTCGTTGTTTTTTTGTTGGAGTTGTTGTTGTTGGCGTCTCTCACGCACTGGGAAAATATTTGTGGAAAGCATGCAAAATGCACGCCTGCTGCGGCTCTTTTATTTTCCGAATGCAACTGTTGAAAGCTATTTGTATCTGTCGGTCAGATTAGGTTAAGTTTCCGCCCCCCTGCCACTGGGCCCGGCGTCAGCAGGCGAGGCATCCATGGCAACCACTGCATGTCTTTCGTCAAAGTGTCGAGCCACTTGGCTTTGCCCCAGCGTCTACCCCGTTGCCCAGCTCCCTTTCATTTCCACTTACTGACTATTAGCTATTGATGCCCGCTTGGATTTTCAGCTTTTCCTCCGATTTTCTCTGGCTATTTAGCGTCTTTGTCGCGCATTCTGATTTATGTGCAAGCCGAGCATTTGCTTTTTACAGCTACAAATATCGGTCGTGCGGGTCTTTTGGCACATATTTAGATATTTAGTTTAAATGTTCACACTAAAATATAAAACCAAATACTAGCACGTTCCCCAAAACCGAGCCGTGCTGTGCGCCATGTGCAGGCCGAAAGGCATCTTTGTTTCTGATACACCGAATATCAGAATTTTTGAATGGACGTCATCTTAGCTAGCCGCACGTTTCCGGTGCGCGTTCTGTGTGTGTGGATCCCCCCTCCCCATCTCTCTCTCTCTCTGTTCCTCCCTCTCTGTGTAGTTTCTGGCCGGCAAAAGTGGCACACAGATCTTTATTTTTAAATAAAGAACAAATATCAGTGCACAGAGATGCGATTATATGTGTCGCTTCTGCTCATAAGATATGCACAATATTCACAGCAAATATGTGTGATAAATTAATGAACACTTGCAGCTCCGAAAGGGGAAAACTTACACCAAGATATACATGTATACAAATGGGGCTAACAAAAGCTGTGGATGGGCACAAGAGACTATAAGAAATACAAATTTAGTTGAATAAATATGCTGCAAATTATAAGGTTTTAAAATTCTCGGGAAGTTGAGGCTTTGGCTAATATGCAAAAAACTTAAACTGGGTTTTTATCATGGCTTAAAAGACACTCAAAAACCATCTGATAAGATTCAGGGGCTCAGATACAAATATGATTAAAAAAAATACAAAAAAGTCCTCAAAAGCAAGTCTATTAGGTGAGTTCCACGTAGTAAATATATAAACAAATATGTCAAGCAAATTATGAAGCTGAGTTTATAAGAAATACAAACTCAGTTGAATAAGAGTTAAGGATGCCAGAGAAATTGAGCCGATTGGGTTTGGCTGATATGCAAAATACTTAAACGAACTACATATCAGGGCTTAAGAACACAATAATATGAAAGGCTAGGTCCATGAAAATAAATAAACAAAATAGGATAAACAAATGCAGTGAAGGAAAGAAGAGTTCATGAAAAATAAAAACTTTGTTCAATAAAAAAAAAAAAACAATTAGAAGGGGGATTTATTAATATATATAACATATAATAAACAAATGCAGCGTAGCTTTAAATGGAGCAAAGAGTTTATAAAAACTAAATGAGCTAAGGATTCCCCGGAACTTAAGTTCAATGGTTTTGTCTACAATACAACAAACTTGAGCTAAGCATATCTCAGAGCTTAAAATCCACGAAAAAAAAGGTCACGGTTCGAAGCAAAGCCGCGCCACTTAGTTGAGTTCGTTAACCCTTTTCGAATCCAAATATGGTTCGGATCAGATTTAGTTTTCTTTTTTTTATGTCAACTGATGCGATTTAATATGTGTTCGAACAGGAAAATCGGATAATATTTGCTGGGAAGGGTATTTGAGCTATTTAGAATACGCCTGCATGCATGCTTAAAATCAAGCCAAATACCCTTCCCAATTTTCCAGCAACTGTTGTTGCATATTCTATATTCTGTTCAGCGCAGCGATTCGTTGATTACTCACGATTCCAAATATATAACATTTGGCTAAATAAAAACAAATTTATTAAATGATGCAGCTAATTTTAGACATATTTTGATCCTAATAAAAATCGAAATAAATGTAGAATGATTTTCATTTATTTACTGTTTACGTGAATAAAAATTTGATACAATTTTACAGCTGTCGAAATAAAACACTTTCGAGTTGAGATAAAATGGGCACGGTTTTCGCCAGATATACGCGTGGCTATATACCAAATTTATTGTTGTATTTGTTGTTGTTGTTCCTGTTGTTATATTTATTTATTTCATTATTGCAATTTCCAAACGCAACGAGCCGAACGCGCGAGCGGAGAGAGCCGCCGAGCAAAAGGCTGAGCGCGAATGGGCAACGGGCCGATCTCTCGCCCCAAAAATATATGCACGCACAAAAACTCACGAAAAATGTATTGTTGTTATCGTTGTTGTTGTTGTTGTTGTTCAGTCGCGCTCGCCGGGAAAAATCTCAGCACAAGATTTTCCACATCGCGGCAGTTTTCCTTTGACAACGCGCCGAGTCGCACGAGATATATTGAAACGCGGCGCGGCGATCCGTTTGCGACAAAAGAAAAAAAAATATTGGTGCTGGTCTTTTGCTAAATTTAAATTTAAAAATAAATAGCAACGGTTTTTCATGAAATCGGAAAAAACGCAACGCAGATGAAAAGCCAGAAGACGTATAAAAAAATAAAATCGGGAGCGACAGGCACAAAATATCAACGCATAAATAAAACGGACCCGTGACGTGTCGCATTTGCCTGAGACTCTCCGTCTCTCTCTCTCTCTCTCTGTCTCTCTCTCTTTGCCGGCTGCAATCTCAGTGCTCCTTGGATTTAGCTGGTGCAGCTTCTCCACCGGCGGATTATGTAAAGTGGCACAAGCCACGGGCCCAGGCAAAAAATACGCACGGAAATTTTGTTGTTGTTTTCGGTGAGAATTCGTTTGCGTGAAATCAGAGTGCCAATGTGCAAATGTATCCAAATGAATGTGTATCTCATGCTGCGCCGTTTGTATCTCAGTCTTTGTCGCCAGTAAATGTATCTAATTTATTTTGCATCTATTGCAATTGAGCGGCCACCGTGGCAGCCAGTGGATGCATCCGCAAGATACGACAAAGTTGTCTAATTGCCGTCAGCAGTTAATTTGTCGCGCGCCTGTGTGTGCGTATGTGTGTGTGTGTGTGTGTATCGAATTACAAGCGAAATTGCAAATATTCAAATGAAAATTGTTGCCGCTTCAAGTGAAACACAAGGCATATTGAAAATGTCAGGAATTGTTTGCTGCTGAAAAATAAATAAAAAATACAAATAAAAAAGAAAGTGAAAAAGAACCAAAATAAAACGCAATTGCGGCCAAAAGCATTTGCCAAAACAACGTAATCAACATGTCATCCTATCGCAGTTATGTAAGTAAACGCTTTGCAGCGCCAAGTATCTGCAACTCTTTAGCCGTATCTCTGTATCTATGTATCTGTATCTGCTGCCTTTGTAGCTATTGTATCTATTGCTGTGTATCTAAATTGTTTCGACAGTTTGCGTTTTGCAATTTGCTATTTTGTTTGCTTCTAATTGCTGCTGTTGCGGCCAATTTATTTAGTATCTAGTTTGCGTCGCTTTTCACAGCACACACCCACACAAAAACACACACACTCACACACACACACATTCACACACACCCACCCGCTCACACACATGCAAAAGAAAATTTACGTTTACGTATGCAAAATACTCGCATTATGTATTGTATCTATGAATTTGATTTTTCCTTTGGGCTCTTTTGTTTTTGCCAACTTTTGTTCAGAGTTCAGGCGTGTTAATGGCCCAGTTCCATTGTTAAACAATTCCCCAAATGCTCAACAACTTTCTGCAGCGCTTTTGGTAATTGATTTTCAGTTTCTGTTTTCCGTCTGTCAGACAATTATTTTGAATTTCATTCATAGTTTAAGTGCTTAGAAAACTATTTTAAATGTTTCAAAGAATCGACGATACATTAAATAAGACATCTTATGATTTATGACCACATGTGCTGGGAAAGGTAATTGTTGGCTTAGATAAGTACGTTGCACAGATAGATTAATGAGATGTTCTTATCTAAAAGAACGTGTATATATTGCACATATTTTAGCTTTGATATAGTGTAAAAGAGAGCTCTTTGAAAGCCGCTAGGAAAGACATACTATGCATATGATAATTAATTTCTGTATGTAAAGTATTTCCAACAAGCTCTAGCTTTGATATATGGCTAAAAATATTTTTTAAATATTATAAAACAAGGCAGCATATCAAAAAAAAATATTCTTTGCACAGTTTACGTTTCATTCTTGAATCCCACGTATAAAAATGGCTAGAAGTATTAATTTAGAATTTTTTCATTATTTTTATTATTATGTATCTTTATCATTATTATCAATATTATCATTATTGTTGGTTTTATTATTATTACTTGTATCATTGTCAGAGCATGGCAAAACTAATTATATAGCACTTCGACTAACTATAGAATATTTTGATGCTCTGCCTTGTCTATCAACTCTTTGAACTGACAAACATATATCATGTCACGTTCAGATTATCCTTTCTTTAGCGAACGTGTCTACGTTCTCGACTTTATGTGACCTTTTGGCGCTCGCTAAACTCTGGAGCTATAAATCAATTAAAGATTGCGCCCAAACCGATCAATTGATGCGTTCAACAAGTTTCCACTTTGGGCTGCCTCAAAGTGTTCTGCCCAGATTGGAGGCAATGTATTTATTTTTAGGCATTTCCACTTCTAAAAATGTTCGAAAAAGGAAAAAAAGTGATTTTTTTATTATTGTGTCGCTTGTAAGTTTGTCTTCTGTGTGCTGGCATTCTGATTCCTGCTGTTGTTGTCGTTTTATGGCCAGAAGGAAGTTGTAAATGTTTATGGGATGGCATAAAGTAGGGAGTTACAGGGGGAGGAGATGGAGAAGTTGGAGCAGTCGAAGCACGCACCACCTAATTAATTAACAAAGTGTGAATATTCTCATACAAATTGTTGTACACGAATTTAATGGGGATGGGCGGGGGAGGCTGTGTGACAGTTAACAGTTGTTTCTCAAAGCTATTTGAAAGTCGGATTTCAGTACACAACATGCCCAGACGTCGACGACCCCGTTGCAAGGTGAAACCGTTGATAGCGCTGCGCGATGATGCCGGCGACAGCGAGGCAAGTCAGGAGGAGCAAATCGAGAGCAAAAGCGAAGAGGTGGATGTGTCCACAGAGGCCCACGATGTGGCGCCCAGTGTGCCGACCCATGACTGGGAGTACAGACTCTTTCCGGAGTTGCACAATCAGCTGCCCTGTCTGCCCACCTTTGCCGATATCTTTGGCCAGCATTCGGACGTCATCTTTCAGGAGAATATGCCGGCGGATGCCCTGCCGGAACCGGAGCCGGAGCCGGTCAGCAGCCGGAGCAGCATGCCGGATCAGCTAAACCTATCGACCGCATTGTTGCCGGATCTTTTCGGCCTGAGCGGACTCGTTGCCAGCCTGCGCGCCACACGCTGCAATGCGAATGCCGTTCAATTGGTCACCGGCGAGGATCTGACCACATTTGGACTGGACCTGGCCAGCCAGGGTGACATCTATGTACATTTCAATGGACCATTTACACAGCAGCCAGCTGGTCGCAGCTCCGCCAACTGCGCCTTGGAGCTAGGCATGCGCGGCATGCGCGATGCCATGGACAAGTATCCCACAAAGCCGCCCGTTTGGGAACCTTTTGTGCCCGATACCAGAAATCTGGGCCTGGTGCTTCCTTTGCCGAAGTTGTCGCAGCCGTCACACGATAAATCTGCCTAGTTTGATGTCAACCTTTGGCAACCTTTCAAATTGCTGTTCTTTTGTTTTGGTTTATTGTCAACCATCAGCAAATATTTCGCCCATCAATTAAACACACATCTATAAACTGTTTCAATATAATACAAAAACTAACAGAGCTGATACTATGACGAAACTAAAACAATCCAAGAACTGAGTGCAATAGAAGAATTTTAATTTTTTCCTACGGGCCTTATACTCTATTTAGCTTGTTTAGGTTCCACCACCACAACACAAGAGATAAGTTTTTTCTTTTCTGTTTTGGCATTTCTTGTTTCTTAATCTTTTCTCTTTTTTGCAAATTATAAAATGTATCTTTTCTTGAAATTAAACTATTGCAATTCCTTTTTACAAAATACCCAATAAATAAAGTAATTTATAGTCTGTTTTCTGTGTGGGTTCATCGAGCCTCCGACTGCGATTTCGCCTGTGTCCGGAATTAAGACTTACAAATTTTCAAACTTATCTATGTGATTACCGAATTTATGTAGACTTCGAAATTGTTAAATTTGTAGTTAAAACTCATTGTATATACGATGTGAATAACTTAGATATTCTACCTTTTATGCCTTGCCAGATCGGTGTTTGAACTGGTTTCCACTTTGTTAAAGATGATTTAAAAAAAAATAGTTGAAAAATATCCATAGTATTTGATAAAAATAAAAGAAAGTATTAACAATAAAGTCGAAGCACAAAATATTCGGAAAAAGTCGGAATAAAACATCAAAAATTTATTTAAATTAAATAAAAGCTTAGAATGAAAATATAAACTAAAGCGGAAAAATGCAAAATGTATAAACAAAATATAGTAAATAAATAGAAAATATATATTGAAAAAGCGTGAGGGGGGAAAAAATTATATATTTTTGAATTTCTATAAAAGGGCAAAGAGTTAGGGATATACCTTAATTATCCTTAAACCTCTTTATTTAAATTAATATTTTTATGACTCGGTTTTGCTCTATTAGCCATTTTTCTTAAAGAAAATAGACAACATTTGTTTACAAATCCTTAATATATACGTAATACAGGGTATCTGCTAGCCTAACCAGTTAAAGCTCATTCTTGTATTACTTGCTTCGGCAGCGTTTATTCAACTTTTCATAGCCTTTTCATGCTGCAGCATTGTGTAAATATATATTCCGCTCGCATTTGACTATATTGCAGATATACTCAGATATATATATATATATACATACATATATATATTTTTGACACAACGACACCAAAAACTAAAAATAATCTTCGAAGAAAATAAAGAAAAATAAATCATTTTGTCTGTGCGGCGGCACGCGAATGTTTTTCGAGTAATTTGATTTTGTTGGCCAGCTAAACATGTTGGCTGGTCGCCTGCCACATTTGCCACATTTGCTGCATTTGCTAAATGCATTTGAACATTTGCCCCGATCTGCGTTTTATAGACATTACGCATTGACAGATAGGGCCCGCTTTATAGCGTCCGTTGTTCTGGGCTCGTTTGCCATTCTGAGCAGGGGCAGCGCCTAATTGAGTCCACATAATAACGCTGTCAAGAGTGGGGTATAGAGATAGATGCCACTCTGTTGAGTGGCAACGAACATACACATGCCACATGCCACATGGCTATCTTCATCTCTGCCCAGCATCATCTTCTGCCACTTTCCTTGGCTGTCCGCTTGCTTGTTTTGCACATTGTTGTGCTATATTTGCGTTTGGCATTCCATTTCACCAACAACAACAACAACAACAGCGAAAACAATTAACTGGGCGCGTACCGCCTTCCTGGGCATCCCCCCCTTGCCCCTCAACACGCTGGGCGGGCGGTACTTAGGCGCTCAAGAAATATGCATTTTTTATGGCACATGTCATTCGTGTGGCGTGGGCCGCTTGGCGCCAGCGTTGAGCTCCAGGGACATGGCTATAGGCTGCAGCATGGTCAGGGGGAGTGTGCGGGGGCGGGGCGGGGGCGACAGTTCAGTAATCAACGCAGCTGGAATTTCTTGCACGATTCACATTCGAGTATTCGGAAATTCATTCAGGTAAATCGTTGATTTTTATAGCCACTTTCAGCGCTTTAACTGTGACTTCATTCGGCACTCAGATTTTCATTGGAATTTTCATAGATATTTTCCGGGTATTTCTTGGCCCTTTAATGGCTTCATTTCATCCAAAACTCAAATACTCAAACTCACATAGTATTATTATTACTTTTTCTATTCTCATTAGACTCAGCATAAACAATGACTATTGTTATTATTCATTCTCTTATTAACCTTGATTTTATTATTATCATTATATTATTATTATTTATTATTATTTTTATTGCTATGATTTTTATGCTCAAACTATTTTAATTAAAATATAATTATCATTGTTATTATCATTATCATTAGCAATATTATTAGTTGCATTAGACATGATTTATTCAAACTTTTGTTGCCAAATTCTAAAAACAGCTGACATGTATTCGGCAATATTTATGTCTGCCTGTCTGGCTGATCCAAGTGATATGCATAGATCCTCTGCTCTCTGTCTCTGGGCATAAAGGAACGTAGGTGCTAGGGGCCAGATTTTCTAATGCGCGGCGCGCCCAAGATTAGAAGGCAGATGTTGAAATAATCGAAATGAATCTGTTTACACGTCCAAATTAATTGAAAAACGCGTGCTACAGCGCCATTTAATTGAAAATGAAATTGAAATAAAGCGAAAGAGAAGGCAATGCCATGCCAGAGGCGAGTTCAAAGCGGGCCAAAACCGCGTGCGGGCGCCCCTCTGTGTTCCCCCTCTAAGGGTGGGGTGGGCAGTGCGGTGCTTTTTCTGGTCGATGGCGTTGATGTGTCTGAGGTGCTGCCCCTGCCCCTGGCTCTGCCCCGTTGAAGATGATAAAATGTGTGCGAATAATTGTCGAACGCATCTCTCAATGAAATTCTCCGATTCTCAGCATATGCAATCGAAAAAGAACGGCTGAGTGCGCCAATCAATCAATTGCAGTTTGCATTGCTCATCGTTTTCCTCTTCGTTCTGCTGGAGTTAAAGTTCTCTGCGGGGTGTAAAGGAACTTTATTTTGATAAGAGGAAGACTTATTTTATTAAGTGGGGTAGTCTTTGTACTTGCAGAATTATTTGAACTATCAAGGAAAATATTGTCACTCGCTTGTTCTCTCTTCCTCTATATTGTTTGAGTTTACTCTCTCCTTCACTCTCTCTTTCTCTTTGCCTATTTGTTTTAGGGTCTATGTCTCCCTTTATATTTCTAACATTCTCTTACTTGTTCTTTCTATTCTGTCTATATATTTTCTTACCTTCACTATCTTCTACTCTTTCTTTCGATTTTCCACTTACTATCTCTTATTTCCTATTCCCATTTATATAACTTTCCTCATTTATTAACCATTTTCTCTCTTACCATTCTTCTTGGTATCCCTCTCACAGCAATAAGCTATTTTTCTCACTCTGTCGCTTGCTTTCTCTTACTTTAACTCTTTTCTCTCTCTCCCTTTTTAACATTCTCTTTAATTTAATTCTTTCCTCTTTTTAAAAATCGCCTTTCTATGTGATTTTCATAGCTTCAAGTACGGTTTACTGAAATCCATGCAATACTTATTTTCGCTTTAAAAATTTGTAATAGAATTATTTAATAATTTATTCTAATGTTGCAGACACCCTGGAAATCGAACTTGGGCAGCTCCTACAAGCCGGCCAGCTCAACAGTGAGTAGCATACTTTTGATTTCTTGAGCCATTTCCAACTGATCCCAATCTTTACTTTCAGTATACACTGGGCTCCGATATTGGCAGCGGCTCCAGCTCTCGCTATAGTTCACTGGCCACGCCCAGCTCCTACAGGCCTTCGTTCTCCGGTGGCACATACCGCATCAAGCGCGATCCTCCCGCACCAGCACCCGCCGTTACCAGCTACGTGAGTCGCTACGGCTGCGCAGCCAAGACAGATGCCACTAAGGACGCCAACGCCAGTTCCAGTGACCGGAGCAGCCCCATCAAGCGTTACACGAGCGCCAGCAGCAAACTGAGCAAGTATGGAAGATCGCGGGATCCCAGTCCGGTGGCGTTGGAGCACACGAATCGCGGAAAGTCCAAGTCGCGAGATCCAAGTCCAGTGTTGGACAGCGCGAGGAGCAAGCTGGGCAGCGCTGCGTATCGCAGCAGTGCCTCCTCAAGGAACGGCTACAACAGTCGCTATGCGCCAGCTGCACGACTCAATGGCGCCAGCACCACGTTGGACAAGTCCATATCCTATCTGACCACCAGCGATTTTCATGCGAGGACCGCAAGTCGCGCCAAGGCCAGCAGGGAGAAGGAGCTGGAGGTCACAGAGCAGCCGGCGGAGTTGAACGCGAAGTCGGCCAAAGAGCCATCGACGGAGGAGGAGCTAAGCACCAAAGAGCAGAAGGAGCAGCAGCAGCAGCAGCCGGAGGAGGAGCCGCCGCCGCCATTGGAAACCTTTGTCTCCGTGCTGGTGGTCACACGCGCCACTTCACCCACCCCGCCGGGCAGCACGACCGTGCAGCGTACACGGCGCATTGACATAGCCAAAACGATTGAGAAGACCATACAGCGCTCGACGAAGCCGCGCCAGATGCTGGAGAAGGAGATTCAGTCGGATCGGCTGGACGACTCCACGCGCTACCTGCGCTACAGCGCCGGCAGCAGCAGTATCAGCTCCAACTACAGCACGCACAGGGATCGCATCAGCAGCCTGCGCTACAGCGCCAGCCCACAGGCGAGCAGCTCACCCAAATCCGGCACACCGAGCGTGGAAGCGTGCAAGCCGCAGCCCACGGAGTCGGCGTCGCCCAAGAGCAATGCTAGCGTGAGCCTGGCCAGCTCCAAGTCCAGCAGCAAGTCCAAGCTGTCGCCGCCCAAGGCGTTGCGCCTGAATTCGCGCCAATCCTCGGTGGAGAATCTAGTCAACAAGCCGCCGGCTGCGCCCAGCAAGGCGGAGTCACCCACCAAAAACGGCAGCAGCAGCGGCCAGAGTAGCTCGAGCAGCGCCCTGGCGAAGTGGCCGTGGCCCAACAAGGACTTCCGCAAGAGCTCACTCAACGTGGGCCCCACGGATCGGCCACGCAAATCGCGCACGCCCAGCAGCGGCGGCGAGTCCGAGGAGCCGGCAGCTGAAGGCGGCACGCAGCTGGAACGCTCGCCCAGCGTCGGCTCCGAGGGCAGCCCAATCTCCGCGAGCAGTGCACGCAAGGCGTCAGCCAAGCAGGCAAATGGCAAGCCAGCAACCGGCTCGAAGATGAAGGCGCACAAATCATGCGCGCCCAGCAGCGGGAGTGGTAGTGGCAGCACCAGCGGGAGCACGAGTGGAAGCAGTGCCAGCTGCACGACGACCTCCGCGTGCTCCTCCTCGGACAGCGAGGCGGTGCGCGGCAAGACGACGGCCAAAAAGCAGAGCAAGAAAAAGACGCCGTCAATTGGCAGCCAGCAAAAGGAGAAAGAGAAGGAGAGGGAGCGCGAGCGGGAGAGGGAGGGACAGCCAGAGAAAGAGGCAAAGCAGCAAACAGGTGAGGGCAGCGATTCGGCTGCCAAGCAATTAACAATGGGACACCAAAATAGCCACAAATCCGCCACTGACTCACGCTCCGGCGAGGCGGTCGGCGGGACGCAGTCGCGTCTGCAGAAGCTCTCGGGCGTATCGAATTTTTTTGCCACTCGTCAGCCGGACGCAAATAGTGAGCCGATCTTCCTCGAAAGCTCCGAGAGCGCTGGCAGCGAGTCGGAGCAGCCGGCCGCGTTGGTCAGTCTGATGCTAGACATGCAAACGAACGAACCAACGACAAGCCTAGGAGCAAATCCTTCACTGACGACAACGACTACGAACCAAACGACGCCCAGTTCCACCACGCACTGTCCCGGAGAGACGACGACGACGAGGACAAAGCTGACGCCCAGTACGGAGAGTCTGGAAAGCGAAGCGCAGCCTTCACTCGAGGAGCACACGGAGGAGCCCAGCTGGTGGCAGGACACCAGCCTGCAAATCAATACGGACTCCGCCTTGGACTATAATAATCGCAGCGAGATGCCCTTCAGGCTGCGACACATCGATTCCGGCGATGATCAGGCCTGGTGGCTGCGACCGGATGACGCCGCCGGTGATGAGGATGATACGCTGGCGGAGGCAACGCTCAATCCGCTGGACGATGAGCAGGACGCCAGTGCGGCCAGCGTATCGCAGGGCGAGCGAGGAGGAGGACATAGTCAGACGGGCTGGTGGAGCAGCAGCAAGGACGAAAACCAGATTCAAAACGAAAGCAAAACGAGCAACGGCTTCGGGCCAGAAACGGAACAGGATCAGGAACAGGAGGAGCAGCAGCAGCACAGCCAGGAGATCAGGCGCATGCCGCGCAGTCGCATCTCTCCGGAGCACGATGCCTGGTGGCTGGAAGATGAGCAGCCGCAGGACACCAAATCGAATGGCTACCACGAGGATTGCAACAACAACAACAATAGCGAGCCGCACGTGGAGGTGACCCTCAAGCTGCCCAGCAGCGGGCGCAGCTCCAAGCAGTCCACCCAATCCACGGAGAGCGTGCAGTCCTGGTGGCAAGCGGCGCCCACCAAGAAGCTGTTCAATGTGCAGCGCGTGGAGTCCGGCGAGCGTGCCTGGTGGCAGGAGAAGGAGAACGAGCCGCCGCCAGTGAAGCAGCCAACGCCGCCGACGCCGCCGCCGCCGCGCATCATCAAGCACTGGGAGTCGGGCGAGCGCGCCTGGTGGCTGCAGGAGGAGGAGGAGCAGGTGCAGCCGGAGACAGCGCCACCAGTCGCCGACCAAGTGGATGCCCAGGTGGAGCGGCGAATTTGTGCGCAGGAGGCGCCCAGCGAGCTGAGCAGCTCCTTCAACTTCGCCTACTCAGTGCGTCCGCCTCCATTGGGACAATGCGCCAGTCCGGTGCCAGCGGAGCCCAGCGAGCAGCGAAAGCTCTGTGCATCGCCCTACGATAACATTCCAATGTCAAAAGTTCAAATGGCAGCGCCGCAGTCGCAGTTGCAGTCACCGACGCCGCCAACGCCGCCTCCCCGTTACTCTTATACGCCGCCAGCGGGCCGTGTGGGCGATAAGCTTTTTATTTCGCGTCATCAAAACATTGACGATCTTTTGGGTGGCGCATGCCGCCCGCTCAGTCCGCTCTTTTACAGCGGTGCCGCGGAGAGCGAGGCGACGTCACTGCCTCTGGCGAGCAAGAATATGTTTCTGCTCGAGGAGATTACGCCGGATCAGGTGCGCATTCACGATAGCACCGCTCAGTTGCCGGTCATACAGCGCATGCAGCGGTGAGTATGAAGAGCTTAAAGAGAGCGCGCGAGCGTGTGCTTTCTGTTTGTTGTGTGGTGAATTTTGCTCAACATGTGGTTGTCTTCTCTCTCTCCCTCTCTCTCGCGTTTGATCTTGCAGCGATGTGGAATGGCTAGAGAATGGCAACAGCAGCAACTTTTATGAGCAACAGAAGCAGCAGCCGCAGCAGCGCAGGGTAAGTGCCAATTATCTCTCCCTCTCTTCCGCGCTCTCTCGTGCTCTCTTCAACAAACACACCCTCAACATATTGCAACAATTTTGGCAACCTGCCCGGCTTGTTACGCTATCGACTGCTCGTCGCCAAAGACGCCCACGCGTGTGTTTATTAACCAGTGCATACACTAACATGCGATTGCCGCACATTGGCTATGTCAACAAGTTTGTCACGCAACCAAAACGGAGTCTGTGAGTGGGCTTTGTGTGAGATCTTTTTATATTTTGTCTCACACGTCAAGTAGAATACCTAAATTTTGTTCATAATATATTCAAGCATGGACAAGCCCTTAGCTGGTAGTGCATGCAAATGTCAGGTAAGCTCCGCGGTAGAATGTGTGAACGATCTGTGCGTTATTTGAGATATGCCAAAGGGCAAGTCAAGGCGCAACGCACCCAAATCCGCTGCCTTATCTGAGCCATCTTTGGCGTGATGCCGTCCTGAATGACAGCTCTCAAGTGTGGCCCCAAAATGTGACTCACAAAGCGCAGCAGAAAATGCGGAAGAGCTTAAAATATTATCTTAATTATATTACATGCCGTCAGGCAGCGCGGCGCGCACTCGAACTCGAACTCGAATTCGGTTACAGCATTGTTTGCCTGTGTTCTTGCTTATTGCTCCAGTTTCGAGACGTCGGCTTTTCGGCGAAATGGGTCAAAAAGCAATTAGCATGCACGTTAAGCCAGAAACCAGAGTGCGCCAGTGCAGAGCTTTAACTGTAAAGCCGACAAAGGTTAGCGCCTGCGTCGGCAGCAACAACGGCGGCAACGGCGACGGCGACAGCGACAGCACTTCATTAAGTTTGCCTTGGCGGCGGCTGCCTCAAACAGCAGAAACAAAAGAAAAACTCGTAATGATTGCAAATATTTATTTTGTTTGCGCAATTGTTGATTCTGTGCGGCCAATGTGACCATAAAAACAGTCGAAACATATACAAAAAAAAAACAAATTCAAAATCGAAAGTGCATTCAACTTACAGAATCAGCCAATGTCTGCTAGCCCTGCCCCCCTGCCTCCTGCATTCTCCCTCACCACCCGACCCACTGATTAGTCAGAGAGCCAAAATAGACGCTGGCATTGATGCGTGAAAACAAAAACCCAAATTACATTATAAAAGACATTTTGTTTCATTTCGCACAGCAGCCATTTGCAAAAGCACAAATTATTCGTGTGTGTAAATACGCAATTGTCGCTCTTTCAATGACATCAACAACAACAACAACAACAACAACAACAGCAAGAAGAGTTTTCTGTCTCTTTCTCGCTGCCGTGCATGACTCACATTCGAACTTCTTTCGATGCTGACACTCAAGGCAATTTATTTATTACCCCACAGCACTATTATCAGTCATGAGAAAAAAACCTACTCTTTACAAAACACATGTATGCATATGTATATCGTAATTGCATATCTTCCAATTCTTTTATGATGAATATTTCCAATTGTTTGTAAGCAAATACATTTATGTATATAAAAATACAGATATGAAGTCAAGGGAATTTCCTAGAGCCAGTCGGAAATCGATTTATACCAATTGCACATAATCTTAATGTAATATAAGCCCTATGCATCAATCGCTTAGAGATGCGAACTTCTAGAAATTACGAATCATAACATCTTTTATTGTAGAACCCGCTTTTTCTCTCTTTCTTCTTTCTTGTATATGTTTTATTAGTAATTAGCTGCTTACTAATTGCCATAGCTTATTTGCATAGTGATTTATTTCCATTCGCCCTCCCCCTCTTAATAGCCCGACCCCTTCTGAAATCGCTGCCCATAATCAAAGCAATAACCATGCACTCCCACCCCAATTGCCAATTCGAAGTCTCTGCACACACACACACACATGCACGCACACATGCACGATGTAAAGAGCCAAAGCAGAGCCAAATGTCCAGCTAATGATAGGCTAACGCTCAATCAACGATAAAACTAAATTGTGGCACACGCGCCTCTAAAGCTCTGAGGCAGAGCTATTTATAGACCAGCTGCGAGTGCGAATGCGAGTGCGGGTACTGCTATCAGCTGCAGTCGCAGTGCACGTTCAATTAAAAAAGAGCAACAGCAGCAGCAGCAACAACACAGCGTCTTGTAGTAGGTGCAGCGAACGCAAACTCACCTGACCACAATACACGCACAGCGGCGCAGAGAGTCACGCAGCGACAAATTCACCACAGTCTGGCGTTCCAACCTGCCTCAAGAGGCCTAACGTAACGTAAGCGCTGGCGTCATCTACCTTTTGGCTGGCCACCTTACGTTATATTTCTCGCTCTTCACGTATTCTTCTTGCACATTTGACGCCGTCTTCGTTTTTTGGCTGCCTGTGTGTGTGTGTTGTATTGTTGCTTTGACGTTTTTTGGCGCTTCGTGGGGCCCACAAGCCGCACGACAATATTTGTGGCTTTCAGTTGCTTGCCGAACGCGCGCATGTTTGGACGTACATACGTCTCGTCTCCACAGTTGTGAAGCCGTTCAAGCAAAGTGTAACGGAAATTTCAGCTGCCGCTCAGCTGCGCGCGTCGCGCTCTCGCTTCTGTTGTGTTGTGTTGTATGTGCTGTGTTAATGTTGTTGTTGCTGCCATTGGCAACAGCGTTTATTAAAAAAAAAAGTATTTAAACTGCATTAGTTGTTAAACAAATTGGTAATTATGCGCGTGAATGCTTAAAGAAAAACAACAAAACAAATATTGCTTTTTTATGGTTAAATGGCAACGATTTCGTCAACTGGCGTTAACTGCCCAACATTAGCAGCTAAATTGTTAAATTGCAATTTATTTTAATATTGATTTTTTTGCGTGTCACTGTGTCAGTGTCAATGGACAGCGAATTATCGGAGGTGTCTAAAACTTTGAGCACAATTACGGCTCTGTGTGGGCGCAACTCGAAGCTCAGTGTCAAAGCTTCTGCATAGAAAGAAAAAAAAAGTTCAAGAAACATAACTGAAAAGAAGAAGCAGCAACAACAAACAGCTGTCAACGATTTGGTTGTTTTGTCTGCACTTCCTCTTTGTCAAGTGCTTCTTCGCCTTGTTATCATATGCACTCCTGGCAACTGTCCTGCTCTCTCCCTCTCTCTCTCTGTCTGTCTCGCTCCCGCACTATTAAAGATCTGCGTGTGTCGCCCTGTGCCTGCTCGTTCTTTGCTGGAGACATAGCAAATGTTGGTACTAAAAAAAATTGGAAATAAAAAGCCAAACGAAAATCCCAAAACCGGAATTGTGCAAATAAATCTCGATATAAGACTTGGATGGGCCACAGTGTCTGCGTTTCCTGCTGTTCGTATTGTGACGTGCGGCAAGAAGAAGCAGTACAAGCAGCACAAGCAGCAGCAGCAGCAGCAGCAGCAACAATAAGACTTGTACAAGGAAGCAAAATCTTATGTTGATTTGCCGTATTACGAGCACACTGAAATATTATTATTTATTTTCACCCATTAACGAAATTGCCGTTTGCCTAGGGGAGCAGCCCGATCGCCCCCTACCTCTCTCTCACTCTTACACTCTGTCAGCGCAAGTGTTGTACAACGCGAAAGTTTTGCATCTCCAACTGTTAAATGGGTGCTGGGAACTGCACGAATTGCAGCTGTCGCCTCGTAACCTACAAAATGAAACGAAAACAAACAAAAAAATATTGTATATATATATTGCCTGCAAATTACCAAAGTACTCAAACACTGCTCCAAATTCCGCTGTCTTTCAATTAGACACAATTGCATTATAAGGCCAACTCTTGAACTGCCCCCACTTTCCCCCTTCGCCCCTTCATTAAAGCCAAATCTTCTGCCAGCTGCACACACGAGCCCAGCATTTACTTTAATATGCAAATAATGCTGTGGAATTTATAATGGCGAAAAATGAAAACACAACCGTATAGAACCGAAGCGTAGCTATCTGTGCAAAATAAAAAACTCACAGAAGTCAGTAGACAGGGGGCTGGCTAGGGGGGGCAAGGGGCATAAACCTCATTTCAACGCGGCTAGTGGCTAAGTACGTAGTACCAGCCACTAAAAAAAGCGCTTCTATTTAGTTATAAACCCAAACACACGTTAAGAGTGAGAGAGAGAAAGACACACAAACACACAAGCATACACTCATGTGCAGCAATATCTTGACAGTCTGTCTGGGAAGTATTAGTACAAAGGTTTTTAGATTTTATTGAAGACATTTTTTATAGGTTTCAAAAGTAAAAATTAGCTTGAAACTTAAGAAGCTAATTCAAATTTATTTAAGAAAAGTGAAATTTGTTTTCAAAAGCAAGAATGTGCTGGAAGAATAAAAAGTGAGGGCGAAAGATATTGTTGGAGAAGGGAAACTTAAAATTTAAATGCTTTCAAGCGCGGAAAGCATTAAATTAAATTCGCTTGTCAACTACTTTGTTAAATTGCACAATTATTAGAATATATAATTTTATGCAACATTTTTCAATGGATTTTTATTTTTAATTTTTAACTGATTTTTATTTTGATATTTAGTAACATTAGAACGCTTCTCTAATAAAGTTAACTTCTATTTGTTAACAATTTGAAAGCCCTTTTCCAAATAAAGTCCCTTTCCAAATAAATATTAAATCAAATATTATATTTACCTTATAAAATATTGACATTTGCGTGTTTATTGTTTGTTCTATGCATTTATTATCCTGTTCAAACATAAATTTTTAAATTTAAACATGCACTTTAAGCATGTATAGTGTATATAGAGTCGATTTCAATTTTTGAACATTTTAATCTGAAGTGTGTGCCCTTTTTTCGCATGTTCTGCGAGCGCATACTTCTGGCAGTGACTGTGCCCGAAACGTAGTTACAATTTTAATTATCTGTCAGCGTAATCTGTGCCCTGTGCGCTGCCCGCAACTGCGACCGCGACGCCGACTGCGCAGCCGACTGCGCTGCCAACTGCGCTGCCTGACGTGCCAACGGCGAGACACTTCAGGCACAGCTTCAACTGCAGAGGCTTTTTTTT